CCTCAAATATTGGGACACTCCTGTCATGTCAATCCTAGTCCTTCTCTTTGTTAGATTAGACATGGCCAGTTCCTGCATCCGTTCATCATATGTTTTAACCTTCAGCCCCCTAATCATTTTTGCTACTCTTTTCTACATCATTTTTAGAGTCTCAACATCTTTTTTTTATCATGGTAACAAAACTGGATGCAGTATTCCAAATGTGGTCTTACCAAAGCAGTATAAAGCAGTAGCAATACTTCATGTGACCTTGATAATATTCCTCTGTTGATATAGCCTAGAACTTCATTGGCTTTTTTGGCAGCTGCAGCACACTTCTGGCTCATATTTAAGTAGTTGTCCACTGAGACTCCTAGATCCCTCTTAAAGTTACTGCTGTTGAGCTACATGCCACCTATTCTATATCTATTCATTTGATTTTTCTTGTCTAAGGGTAAAGACATAATCCCACCAGGATTATATTTGGCATTGAATCATTTTCGGAAACACTAAAATCTTTCTTTTTCATAGACCCTGTGAAAATCCCCTTTAAATCGGGATCAGACAGGAAAAATAAGATGCCTATGAACCATACTGGCATAAACCAATTCAATCTAACCTATACCTCCTAGCAGCAATTCCCATTGTTATTCCACTGAGTCATATTTCGGAGCAATCATGTCAATAATAAATACTGATATATTCCAAGACAGGCCTAAAATTCATTTCTGAAGGTTCAGCCTCTAGCTTACCAACACATGATGGTATTTCCCACTGCCCATGAAGACACTTGGCTGGGTTGGTCCCAATAATGATAGATTGTTGTTGGCATCTGTATTCCATGGTGTCACCATGCCTGTATGTGGATGACTCAGCATTCACAAAAAATCCATTTTTAATTGTTGGAGGTGATCCACAAGTTCTTACTTCCTCTGTTGAAAGCAACCAAAAAAGGAATTATTACATAAAGGTATTAATAGTTTAGCTTCTTCAAACAATTTGCCCCTCTGTTTCCTATACCCATTGTAACTCCATTATCAATCAATCAATCAATAAAAATAAAATAGAGACTGTTTTCATTTTTTTTCAGTTCTGTTAAAGGCCTTTAATATCTCTGACAGAAAGTTCTGGTCAAACGAAGGAGGCAAATACCTAGGAACATCCACATTCCAGCTAACTCTCAATTTGTACTTGATTACCATGACTTAAATATTTTAATTGCTAAGTATTTGAATTACTTGCTGCAATTTTTTGTCAAGTTATTATTTAATTTGCAATATTGCAAAATTTGCAAGTCTCAAAACCTGTAATGGTATTTTTAACATGAATTGGTGAACCATTTACAGAAGCTACGTTAAGCTCACATTAATTTTATTTCCAATACTTTGTTCCAAATTTTCCGAATATGTTATCTCTAGCAATGTCTTATTCTACCATTTGTTCTGATGGAGCCATGGAAATGCTACAAAGAGAAGGACAGTTCTCAATTTTTACTTCCTGTTGCAAGCAACAAAGACTCAGGTATTAGCACTAAGCACAGGAATATATTCATGACTCATGAGATTATTAGGATAAATCAGAATACATTGATTTCTCTATAACTTTATTACTTAAACACTGCAAAGTAATCTCACCCCTTCCACTCTCTACTAATAATGTATTGGACTCTGTTATGAAGGAAGATTCCAGTTTACACACGATGCAACAACCCCCTCCCCTCCACCAGATAAGTGCAAGAAACTACCATGTTACATTTACAAGTCTGTCTGCTCATATTTCTTTTTGTGAACACATTTTTCAGGCAGCTGCTGCTTACCTACGCATGAGGGTAAGGGTGCCCATTCACCATCCACACACTCTATGATTTTTGATCCATATAGTGCAAATGAGATCTCACAATGAACTTCCAATAGATCACCATGCTGAAATACTGCTTTAGATTCACCAGTAACTCTGCCATGTGAAATGATGGGTAATGCCGGACAAGGTTTAACATTTTCTAGAAAAAAGAGAATATCACTTTTATTTTGAGTGTTTACTCAAATCCCAGGCTGATATGCTTGAATATTATTATTTTTAATCTATTGCAACTATTACAACAGCCTCAGGAACCAAAGCAGTGAAACAGTAGTAGATAATGTTTGTTTAAAATGTCAATATAGATCTGGTGTCCAAAAATATATATTAGAAATAACTTTAAAAACATAAATAAGTAGATTTTTGTGTCTACTGTTGTTATCTGTTACTCATTTCCTCCTTTACTCTCAAAAAGATGCATAAAGCCTTTTCTTAAGCTCATCACAGACTGAGAAAAGGAGGACAGGTGGGAAAACCTCCCTCCCCATTTTCCTGCCAAGCATTTAGCGTTGCAGTCCTGGGAATTGCACGGTCACTGAACTGGTTGTTACACTGGCAGCATCCCACCATTGCCTCTTTTTCTCAGTCTGTGCTGAGCTTAAGAAAAGGAGGACCACTTTCCTGCCGATCACTAAAAAGGCTCCCCCTCAAGCCTTCAGCATATCCAGGGATTGCAACACTGAAGGCTTGGCAGGAAAATGCTATTTAGACAAGACATGCAGGTTCAGATCATCTGTTTTGCGGAGGATGTTCAGGTACTGAAAGCAGTGCAGATCAGCTGTTTAGTGAAGCCATGGAGGCACTAAGCAGGAGGGGAAGCTCTCTGCCCCCAACTTTCCCAGTTGGGGAAAAATAGGGAAAAATATAAGACCTCTCAGAAACTAAGACCTGGTGCCTTTTCTGCCAGTCCAAAAAATATAAGACCCTGTCTTATTTTGGGGGAAACACAGTAGGTGGTTGGTTTAATATTACAATAGATTTGTAATTCTGCTATCTGACTTCTTTTTGTGCTTGGTTATGTTAAAAGTACACTCAAAAGTCCTATTAATATAAATGTCAGGTTTCCAAGTGATGAAATCCATTTAGAAAGGAAAGAGCAAAAAGAAATAATCCTGTTGCCTCAAAAATATATAAAAAACCTGAAAAACAATATTACTATTCATATAAACATTTTCTATTCACAATTTAAGAATACAGTTCTGCTGTATGTTGCATATATATAAATGAAGATGTGAGAGTCCCATTCAATGCATCCTGCTAAGAGAAATCTGTTTACTGGCCACTGATTAGCTTTCCTCTAGAAAACAAAACATACTTTTAGAAAAATCTGCTCCTAATTTCCCTGTTCCCGCCTCAAATACAGTAAGAATTCTTAAATTGCCTATTTTTACCTTTACATATTGGAGGTTGTGGAGACCATCCAAAGTGATAACATTGTGCAGATTCAGAGCCAACTCTTGTGAATCCTTCGTTGCAGTTAAAACGTACCACCATATTATGCTGAAATATGTCCTCTCTTGGATTAATTGTGCCATTTTCCAAAACTGGAGTCTTACATACTACGGCTATACAAATGTTGAATAAAATAGAATAAGGTTATTTCAGAATGAAACTACTTGCCAGAAAGTTTGAGACACTTATGTTTATATATAAAATAAACATGATTTTATATTTCTTAAGTGCAATATGAGTTCTACTACTCCATGTTTCCCTGAAAATAAGACCCTGTCTTATATATTTTTTTCCACCAAAAAAGTCACCAGATTTTATTTTCAGGGGTTGTCATCCTCACTTGCATGGGTCACCCTCAGCCTCCTTTTCGCTGTCAGGAGCCTTCAGGAACTTCTTCTGTGGCTGACAAGGCTTTCCTGAAGGCCTCTGCAGTTGATAACAGAGCTCTGGATCAATTGGGAGCTCTGTTATTGGCTGTAGAAGCCTTCTGGAAAACCTCGCTGGCCTTGCCAACTGCAGAAGAAATGGTCTGGCAAGGCAGGTGTTGGGGTGTGTGAGGCCTGGCTGCAACTGTCTGAAAATTAAGTAGTAGGCCAGCTCCACCCCCCACCATCCCCACCCTAGCTTAATTTTTACCGGCGTACCGTGGAGTGGGGGAGTCCTTAAGGCTTATTTTGGGGTAGGTCTTATATTGGGCACACGTGTAAAAATCAAGGTAGGACTTACATTTGGAGTAGGTTGTATTTAGTCACTGCTTAATCCTGGACAATTTTAGTCCAGTATTTAACTTTGCTTTGGAAAGATGGTTGTGAAAGTTGTTGCACACCGCTTCAGATAACCTTGTGTTTGGGAAATAGAGCCAGCTGCTTTGCCCCTTGGCCTCCCTATACAGTGGGGGACTGTGTGCTGCCATTCCAGAAGTGGGACCATTTTGAAACTGCCACAATTCAATATTTTCAGCTTTAACAGCATCTAATTATTATGATTATCAAGTCTTATGAAACTAACAATCTTGTGATTAATCTTTAAAAAATATTTCTCAATAAGTCAATTTGATTTGTACATATATATATCCATCAAAATAAACATCAACATCAAGTAGATACAGTCAAATAAGGAATTTGAGATACCCATTTTATCTAAACAATAAAAAGCTACTTTAACAATATTTAAATAGATATTAAACTTTGCAATATTCAATAAAAATGATATCTTGGACATTGGATTCAATTGCATTTATATAGAAAAGAAATGTGTAAATTAACCTATTATCAGAGATTAAATCAGACTATGTTTCAATCAGACATGTTTTGGCAATGCCTAAAATCATTAAATTAGGACATGTTATTATCGGTGATGTTTTCCTTCTTAGGATATTTCCTAGTGTTGCTTGTTGCAACACTAAAAACACAGTTTTTGCACTGTGCCTGCCTAGTCACACAGTAAAGCTGTCAATGAACAATGCGATAAGGAATTTTATTTTTTATTTTTGATGCTTATTTGTCAAAGGTCACCCAGCTGCTTTCTGAATTGAGGGGAAGACTTAAAACTGGATTTCCCTGCATTTAGTCCAATATCATTAAACCAGCTCTCCCAGACATAAACTATGGATGGATGATTATAATGAGATATGTTTATCCTTTATATTTATATTATGTGAATATATGATAAATAGATTATTGAGAAAGTTATAGCTAATATTTAGAAATTACTGGAAGAACAAATGGGAGAAAATTAAATACATGATTTAATTATTCTACTTTTTTTAGTTTTTATTTGAAAAGCCAATTTCTGGAAAATAATTTAGGATTACAATACTTTTAAGTATATCTAAGTATAAATGCAACATTACAGAAATCATCAGGAAAATATTCTTGATGAACTGATTTAGACAATTGGATGATTATACTGGTGTTTCACTAACTTACACACACAGCTAGGAGTAAATTCCCATCCTTTCTCGGTGCACGTTACTGTGTCATCGATGGTATTGTTTGTGATTTGAAACCCCTCTTTACATTCATAGTGAAGTTTGTCTCCAGGAAAGAAAACAGACTTAGTTGTGTTGAAGATAAAATCACCTCCAGGTGGTTTTAAGCATGTCTCTGTGGAATCAAAGAGTGGATATTATTAGTGTCTCACTGTTCTTTTCTCATGAGTCTAAGTTGTAAGCTCTACAATTCTCACTGAAGAATGACCTCTTAGGTATAGGTATGTGCATGAAGCAAATGATGAGTTGCTATAAATAAGCTCTCACTGGTTCATGCTAGTGATTTTGGCAAATATGGTTAATTGGTTTTTAACCAGGTCATTGGGTCACATTTGGTCTTGCAGACTGTTTCACTGACCCTTTCATGATTCTAGCATCTGAACACATATACATAGTTTTTCAGATTGTGGCTACCTATACTGCAAACAGTTGCTATGTGATCACTTTGTGTCTTTCAGCAGTTTTTGCTTTTGAATCTGAAGTGAATTTTGTCCTTATTATATGTTGTGTAGAGAACATGGCAGATGCTCAACAAGTTTTCTTGCCATTTGACTCTCTCTGTAAATGCAAACTCCATAATATATGTTTTCTGTTTGCATCTATAAGATATTTATGGCATCAGCTCTTGGGAGTACAGGAAATAAAATGCAAATTTGATGTTTACAATAAAAGTGTACATATATATTTAGGTTGCAGGTTACTTTTTTCAAATAATGAACAAAAATAATAATTTATACTATAAGCCTATAGTTAGACTTCTTGAAGAGATACATTTACAAATGGTTATGATATGAGGCTATTCTTCACTGAATAAGATCCCATGTACTTTGTCTATGCCAGTTTGTTTCAATCTATCTTCCAATGGAATTGTATTTACTTACTGATACATTCTGGCTCTGGGCTCCAGCCCTCTGTAAGGCACTGTGTCTCTGCCTGAGTCTCTCCTTTTGATGTTGAATAGCCATTATGACAATTATATTTTGCTTTAGCATTGATCTGAAAACTCTGTTGCTGCGATTCAAAATATCCATGGGATACAGAAATCGTCTTACAGGTGCGTTCAACTGCTAATGGAAAAAGAAAGTATAAAATGTGGCTTCTTCCGTTTATAAAATGTGAACTCTTTGTAAAATACCTGGGAAACCAGTGGAGCCAGAGGAAACTTGGCTCCTTTCAAAATCATGAATAAATGGGCTAAGAGGCTGCTAAGAAAAGCTGCATACAATACGTTGGAAAATTCATAGGCAGATTGAGTGGGGAAATTAATGAAACTGATTAGACAGTTTCATGTCTGTCTTTCTTATGGAAACCAAAGGCATCTAATTTGTCCTTTAATTATATACAATGAATTATACTGCTATATAAGCTACATGTATTCCATATTTTAGTGGCCTGATCTGAGTCTGTACTGGAATTGCTACATGTGGATCATGGGCTGAAGATTCTCACTTGTGTTTTGAACGTCCTGTTATCCTGGTCCAAATCCTTTGGAGTTTAATGGGCGACAACAAGAGATTTGCAGTTTAATCCTTTTAAGGTGCTGTTGGCACTCAAATTTATTAATTTGCAAGATCTCTTGAAATTGCCATGAAAGGATAAATGAAGAATAATAAATTATAGCTGAATCCTGGAAAGATGGGGATGGTCAAGGAGAGTTTGGAAAACTCCAGCACTACATTCTATTCTAGATGGGGTTACAGTGCCCCATCTCAAAGGAAATCACATATGGATTGGGGTTTTCAATCCCTAAATCTGTAAGGATATATTTCAGCTATGCATAGCGACACGTACAATAAAAGAAATAACATGATACATTGCAATATTTGTGAGAGCAGAACAAGTTATGTAAGTTAGTAGAATGCTATGTTACAACTTCACTGTCAATGAAGACTCAGTCATTCAAGCCAAAAGTATCTAAAGGTTTAAACTACTAATGGAAAAGGAAGGCCAAACCTTTAGACACCTTTGGCCTGGATGATTGAGTCTTCATTGACATATTGCAATGCATTTTAGGGGGAAATCCCTGAAGTTGTTACATTGCAATGCCTCTCTCTGCCTAACTAATTTTGCTTTGACTAATGAAGTTGCTTGGATGAGCAACTAAATGTCTCAGATTAACAAAGTTTGGTCCAGTTGCCACAATTCAATCTTTAGACACAATACAACTTCACTGACAACAATTAGAGGATTGTCCTATTTTAAAACTTCTGAAGCATTATACAATTGTGAAAGTATTTGGAGCACAGACCTAATTCTTTTTATGCAAATGCTATCATTTTTATGCAAATGCTATCATACAGAACCCTATTGAAATTTTAAAAATGGATCATATGCAGTGAATTGTTTTAGTTGCAAAATATATATTAAAAGATATTATCATGTAATTTTGATGTTACTTTTCTTTATTTTACTGTTCCTTAATAATTGCCATTTATTCATTTATTTTTATATTTGTATACTGCCCAATACCATTGATGCTGGGCCTCAGATCTTCATTGGAGAAAACCCTAAATCCCCTTTGCACATCAAAACACATCACTCTCAATTTAAAAATAATAAATATAATGAAAACCATTTTTAAATGTTAACAAACTTCATCTGCAATATTTTTCTTCAAATCAAAAGTTACCTTTGTATTGCAAATATTCAATACACCTAAGTAATAGAAGGCATTAAGTTTAATAAGCAAATGATAGGTACAACAATATGCACATAAATAAACACCTATACATAACTTTACCCCCAGTCACAGCACAATTCCCTGTGGAAATGTGAATCTCTTATCATCTCTGCTGCTAAATTATCACAAACTCTCAATTATAAATCCATTGTGAAATACTACTTTCAACACGAGAGAGAGAGAGAGAGAGAGAGAGAGAGAGAGAGAGAGAGAGAGAG